GGGTTCGCTGAAAGATCTTTAGGTTTCGATTCCTTTACAGCTGACTCCACATCAGATATCTCTGCGATAAAACGAACGGTAAACATGTCGGAAAGTGGCATGTGAGAGAGAGAAAGAACGCATTCTATGCGGGCGAATTTATGGTGTTGGTTAACCAATCAGAAGGTGTCAGAGAGCCCTGTAGAGAATTGAAACATGCCAGCGGAAAATTCATATTCTTTAATTCATTAACAGCTCTAAAAGTACATCCACAGTAGTGGGGGAGGCACTGAATTATCCGTTTCAATGCGTAGGAATCTCATTAGCTTGCGCAGGGATACATTAATGCCGATGACGTCATTCATCTCATTAATATAAGACAATGTCATAGTTAATTTTCAGTTGGCGAGGAGTAAGTGACATGAGAATACCCTAGGGTTGGACGTCATCAAAAAATGTTGAAAGGTGGTGGTGGTGGAGGGGAGATTCAAAGCACATAAACTCTTCTTTTTGACAAAAAGTGATGGAAAAACCGAAGTCGCTCTTACCACTACAAAATACACTAAATGTGTTTTCCTCAGTCTGCACTATATGTACAATGTCCCGTTTAAATATACCGAAATACATATCAATTTGCAGTTTTTGTTTTCACAAGTTATTTCCGATTTGCGATTCAAAACTACATCTGCAATCAGCGGCTTTTATTTACGTGTAAATACAGTGGACCGGTTATTTAAACCATGTTTAGACAGCGTTTATGAAAGTCATCGTCTAACCAATTTTTAAACCATAAATACCGATTATTTAAACGGTGTTTTTCTATAACAGTGTTTAGACAATGTCTAAACACCGACTAAGGAACAATAGTAAGTTAGATCTTCTCAAAGGTAGGTTTAAACACTGTTTAACAATATTTTCATGGTCAGCCATTTTGAAATGGAGGGACCACTGCACTACAGACAGTTTAGAAACTACACCAATCAACAAAATGTGCGTATTCGACACCTTAGGGATAGATTTAGCCCTTTAGAGGAATACCACAATGAAGACTTTTGTTTGCATTTTCACCTTCAAAGGGATTCAGTCATTGACCTTGTAAAAATTTTGGAGAAAGATCTTCAACATCAAACTAGGAGAGGACTGCCGCTGACACCAATGCAGCAAGTGCTTATTGCTTTGAGATTCTATGCAACAGGAACTTTTCAAAGGGTTATTGGCGATTTATTTGGTGTTAGTGCATTTGCTGCATGTACTGCAGTTGACAAGGTTTCAAGGGCTATTGCAAAACACAGAGCACAGAAACCTGGCGGATACAAAGAGAAAGTTTTATGATGTTGTGCACTTTCCAGGTGTGATCAGCGCCATCAATGGTACCCACATCAGGATCATATGTCCCAACAAAGAAAATGCTATGGCATTTGCTAACAGAAAGCAGTTTTACTCCATCAACGTCCAATCCGTTTGTGATAGCGAGGCCTTTATTACTAACATTGNTCTTAGTTATCTATGCAACTAAGATATTTTACTGCAACTAAAATTTAATCGTCCCCACGAACGTACGTTTGGCCATACTTTGTCTGGCAGATGTGAAATGTCTTACTTGCAAACATGGAGTCCAAGGCATGAGTTATGGTTAATTGACAATGTCAAAAATTGGTTATCCTCTGACCATTGTCATAAATATGTCTGTATCTAGAGCCCATGGCTTTCATTGATCGCAGGCTCAGGAACTTTCTTAGGAAGACTATAGTTTACCTCTTGTTTATGCTGAAACGGTTTGCATCAAATTCTGCATGGCCTAAGAAAGAAAACAAAAATGCGAATTAGTCCGTAATATTATAAACAATATTAATGGGGCGGGAGGGTGGAAAAACGAACAGTTAACAAGCCGGAAAGTGGAATGCGAGAGAGATAAAGAGCGCATTCTATGCGGACGAATTTATGGTGCAGATTAACCAATCAGAAGGTGCCAGAGAGCCCTGTAGAGAATTGCAACATGCCAGGGAAAAATGCATTTACATTCTAATTCACTTCGCTCAAACAGATGTAAATTATTTTCCTCTTGAATGTAATACATACAAAACAAACCACGCTATTTGATTTTGGATGCTCAGGCATTCCAACAAAATGAGAAATAACAAAGAAAAGTAGATAAAGAAAAGAATATTACTGCGAAAAAGCTGATTACCATTGTCAGACTTGAAACATTTCGAAGAACCCAGCTTCGACCCTTTTTTTCGCTTTCTTGAGGATTTTCTAGTCTTCGAAGTTTGAAGTGAGGTCGTCTGACTCATATTCGTGAACAACCAACCAACCGTCTTTTCTGTGGTCCACAATCTGTATTAATTTCTGCCTCTTGCGAATAAGCTGCTGAGCTTCCTGTACTAAGGTATTAACCTGACTTAGGTCGTCAGCACTAGCCTTTATTCTGGAGAGAAGACTTTCCTAGTTTGGCGTTAACCTCGAATTGTTTCCCGTTACCTTTGAATTTGAATGCATAGGAGGACCTCTGTATTTTCGACTGACCTTGTATTAGTTTCCCTTGTGCCCCAAGTTTAGTATTAAGATATCTTTTAAACAAGGAAAATACTTCATCAACCAGCTCCGAAATTTTAGGTTTGAGGGTTCGCTGAAAGATCTTTAGGTTTCGATTCCTTTACAGCTGACTCCACATCAGATATCTCTGCGATAAAACGAACGGTAAACATGTCGGAAAGTGGCATGTGAGAGAGAGAAAGAACGCATTCTATGCGGGCGAATTTATGGTGTTGGTTAACCAATCAGAAGGTGTCAGAGAGCCCTGTAGAGAATTGAAACATGCCAGCGGAAAATTCATATTCTTTAATTCATTAACAGCTCTAAAAGTACATCCACAGTAGTGGGGGAGGCACTGAATTATCCGTTTCAATGCGTAGGAATCTCATTAGCTTGCGCAGGGATACATTAATGCCGATGACGTCATTCATCTCATTAATATAAGACAATGTCATAGTTAATTTTCAGTTGGCGAGGAGTAAGTGACATGAGAATACCCTAGGGTTGGACGTCATCAAAAAATGTTGAAAGGTGGTGGTGGTGGAGGGGAGATTCAAAGCACATAAACTCTTCTTTTTGACAAAAAGTGATGGAAAAACCGAAGTCGCTCTTACCACTACAAAATACACTAAATGTGTTTTCCTCAGTCTGCACTATATGTACAATGTCCCGTTTAAATATACCGAAATACATATCAATTTGCAGTTTTTGTTTTCACAAGTTATTTCCGATTTGCGATTCAAAACTACATCTGCAATCAGCGGCTTTTATTTACGTGTAAATACAGTGGACCGGTTATTTAAACCATGTTTAGACAGCGTTTATGAAAGTCATCGTCTAACCAATTTTTAAACCATAAATACCGATTATTTAAACGGTGTTTTTCTATAACAGTGTTTAGACAATGTCTAAACACCGACTAAGGAACAATAGTAAGTTAGATCTTCTCAAAGGTAGGTTTAAACACTGTTTAACAATATTTTCATGGTCAGCCATTTTGAAATGGAGGGACCACTGCACTACAGACAGTTTAGAAACTACACCAATCAACAAAATGTGCGTATTCGACACCTTAGGGATAGATTTAGCCCTTTAGAGGAATACCACAATGAAGACTTTTGTTTGCATTTTCACCTTCAAAGGGATTCAGTCATTGACCTTGTAAAAATTTTGGAGAAAGATCTTCAACATCAAACTAGGAGAGGACTGCCGCTGACACCAATGCAGCAAGTGCTTATTGCTTTGAGATTCTATGCAACAGGAACTTTTCAAAGGGTTATTGGCGATTTATTTGGTGTTAGTGCATTTGCTGCATGTACTGCAGTTGACAAGGTTTCAAGGGCTATTGCAAAACACAGAGCACAGAAACCTGGCGGATACAAAGAGAAAGTTTTATGATGTTGTGCACTTTCCAGGTGTGATCAGCGCCATCAATGGTACCCACATCAGGATCATATGTCCCAACAAAGAAAATGCTATGGCATTTGCTAACAGAAAGCAGTTTTACTCCATCAACGTCCAATCCGTTTGTGATAGCGAGGCCTTTATTACTAACATTGTAGCTCGCTGGCCTGGATCGACGCACGACTCGTGCATTTTTTAGAACAGCAAGATCGCAGACAAATTGAGGAATGGTGCTATTGATGACATTCTTGTGGGTGGCAAAGTGCGCTATAATACTGCACATAGGCGTACTAGGTGTGTTATTGAGAGATGCTATGGACTGCTAATAGTCGTTTTCTGTGTCTTCACTTGGGACTGTGCACCGCCTTGATGAATACCCTCGTCATTATTGTGGCTACTGCTGTTGAGAATGAGTAATAAATTCAACTCTTTCAAAAATGATATACTGTTTTCAAAAAGGACCCGTTCCGTACAAAAGCTGATTACATCTGAATATATCGTGTAAGCATGCAAACCTAAAATGCATCAGTAACATCTGTTCATTGTTTCCGTTCACGATAAGAACCGACAATGTTGATTGACTTGATACATCATTCCGTTTACTATAATAACATCTACCCTATTAAGCGTAGAAGCGATTTATCTCTAATCTGATCAAAAAATGGTTGTGACAGCTCCAAGTAACGCAATGGCAAATTAATAAAATAAAACAACATCAATGTCAGTTTTTCAGATCAGAAAACTATCGACACTCCCCCCTTGACCACTTTTTGTACTGGCTCAATGAGAATGTTGAACTGTTTAGTTCTTAGCGTAACAAGTAGTCAATAAGCTTGATTTTCTCCTCTGCAACAACTGCTGCGGTTCGACAAGGTCTGTCTGTGTAACTGAAACTCCATCTTTCACTCTGCAAAGTTCATCTTTCGTGATACTATTTTGATTGTTGCTAGCATGAACTTCGAGAGGAAACAAATCTTGAACGGGTATCTCGATAAGGGTCTTCTTTCCTACAACTAACACTCATGCTCCGCGAACTTTTCCATCTCTTCCCTTGATCAAATCTCTAATTTTTGCAAGCTTCCAGAACGCTCTCTGTGAGTTTCCCTGGTCGTGAAAGATAACAACATCACCACTTCTCACAGGTGGTAACGTGAGATTCTTGCCTTTGGGAAGGTGAAATTCACTCAACTTGACGAGATATTATTGTTGCCTCCTTCTGAAGTGCTGAATTCGATCTGCAAGATAGCGAGAACGTTTGGTAGCAGTTATATGGTCACCAAAGTCCCCATCATCACTTTGAAGAGGTCCCACGGGTAGAGTTAAAAGTCTTCGCCCAATGATTAAATGCTATGGCGTTAGAGGCTCTTCAACATCGTCAGAATAGAGGTCTTGAATTCAGAACTGCTTCAACTTCGACAAGAATAGTTGCGAGTTCATCAAATGAAAGCTTCGATCTTCCGAGTGTTTTCTTCAGACTGGATTTCACTCGTTTCACCAAGCACTAAAAAAATCCTCCCACCATGGCGCCTTCGCCAGGTTGAACTGCCATCTTATCCCCTTGCTGGACAGGTGCTCTTGTACGTCTTCCAGTTCAAATAGGCTAACTAAGGTCTTCTGTGAGGCCTGAAAGGTTATCACGTTGCCTGAAACAATTAGTTTTTAGTTTTTTTTAGCTTCTAGACTTGGTACCAGTTCTAAATGAACTGCTTGACTAGTGGCGCAGGTGAACAGAGCAATATACACCTTTGTCATCTCTGGTTCATCCTTCACCTTTGATTTTACAAACAAAGGACTAGCGAAGTCAACTCCTTCACAGCTGAAAGCGGGCACATCCCTGACACGAAATTCCGGTAAATCGGGCGATTCTGGAACTGAATAGTTCCTGCCTTGAAATCGTCGACATATATTACATCCAAACAGTTTGTTCTTCGCAATTTGTCTCCCCTTTGGGATCCAGTACTTAGAATGAACTTCTGTTAATGTTTCCTTTAAACCATTGTCCTTTAAACCATTGTGCTTGACACGTTCGTGACAATAGGGAATGATCTTTGGTGTGGCAGTGATTCTGTGACAAAAGCACAGGAAATTTTGTGTCATATGATGCTTCGCTGTTGCCAAGTGGTCCACTGCAACCAACTATGCCCTTCTCGTCCTTGAACAGTTCAAGTTGCTTCTTGAGTTCATCTACTTGCAAATGCCCTTGCATCTCCTTTATTCACAAGATTTTGGCTTCCTGTTTCTCATTAATACTCAGAGGTATTGTGAACGAACCATTTGACATAGGCGGTGACCCTTACTAGTCGCTGAAGACTGCTGTATCTGTTGCAATCGATGGTAGCAACCGCGGATGCTTCTATCGCTGTCAGATTTGTTGAAGTAGAGGATTTAATTTCCTGGAGACATTCTGCTGGTGCTTCAGTCTCGGTCCTGTGTAAAGGCCACCTTTTTCTCGCTTGTTTGCAACTACTCAGGACCACGAACACATACAGGACTCTCACTCAGCTCTGATGCGTGTGTGCCTCTTTCGACAGTCGACTCCCCAGACGTCATGTCGTCTACATAAAGACTGTTTAACAAGGCCTTAACAAGTTCTGGGTTTCCATTTGCGTATTTCTGGAGGTGCTGTTTTATCGTGATGTTCAGAAGAAATGGGCTCCACGTTACTCCAAAGACGACTCTGCAAAATCGGTGCACGACTCCCTTTGGATTATCCTTGTGGATGTCATCCAGCCCAATGAATCTGAGTGGGTCTCTATCACTAGGACCGTGTGTGAGAAGCGAAGATTTTCTAGCCTTCACGTCGGAGATAACAATACGAGTCACAGAGGGATGTGACTTGTGACAATAAGTGCAATTTATGTTTCGATTAATGACGCCACAGCAGCCGCTGTTGGATTTCCGGAAGCTTCTTCTCCCTTCCATTTTGGTAGTGATGAGTGTACTTGATTAGTACGGCTTGATATTCCCACACTCGAAGATGTGCATCTAGTTCGGTCTTAAAGGCCTTTAATGGCTCATCTAAATTCCAATTGTCACCACAGAATTGACGACTGAGGATAAGGCGTAGATCTTTTGGTATTTTTGCCATCATAATGGGGATGGGCAGTGTGCCATACTACACCGAATCCACCCCTTGTTCTTGTAATCCACGAACGTGGATTTCAACTTGGTCATATAGCTGGCGAATCTTCTTGATATCGGCCATCGTGCTCACACTGTTTAACTTTAACATAGCATCCATATGCGAATTGATCATGACCTGTTTTTGAGCAATCCTCTCTTGAAGAAGATCAATTGCCGTTTTGTAATTTTCCTCTTTTAGAGATAATCCCACAATCGTGGCATATGCTGCATCCTCTACTAGGCTTCTTAAATGATTAAATTTCTCAACGTCCCACCATTCTTGCCACATTTTGGGATCACCCGAGACTTTTTTCAAGAAGAGCTTCGAAAGTTTGGTTGAATGTGACGTTGACCCTGTAGCTTGAGGACTTGCAGACAACGGAGACGGTTCCGAAGGTTTTGAAGGTATCTTCAGTTCCTTTGAGAGTGAATCCAGTTTGAGTAAATAAAGGTGACGTT